TAAGAAAAAAAAAGTGAGAAGCAAAAGTACACTATTAAGGTTTACAAAGACGTAAAAAAGAGCTAGAAAAGGGAAAGATGTATCATGAGCAATCGCAAAACAATTAAATCTACATTTAAATTCTATCTTAATCAATGACAAGATAACAAAAACTATTTCTAAAGTTAATTAAAAGTATAAACTAAGGATGCTAAGGAAAATAGAGCTATGACATTTTTAAAAATAAAAGTAATGAGAAAAGATTCATTAACAGAAGTTAAAATATATTACAAAGAGAATTCATTCATAAAAAAATCCATAAACAGATCCAGGTATATATTTTAATTTGGTTTGTGATGAAGACAACATTGCAGAGTGAAATGAAATAAATAATATATGAGCAATTGGATTTACACATTGAAGAAAAATAGAGTATTAGTATGTAAATTCCATGCTATTTAATATTACAAAAGTAGTAAAACATAAGTTAATATTAATGGTGGTATTTTCTAATTAAAACACAAAAGTCAAAAGAAAAAACTGACAAATTTTATTTCATACAAACTAAAAGCCTTCCTAAAACAAAACACAGAATAATTAAATTTAAAATATCAGCAAAGTTCTGGGGAACAATTTGCAACATATATAACAGACAAAAATTGCTAGCCAAAATATATTTACAGAGTTCTTAAAAGTCAATATAAAAAACAACTCAATGGAAATAAGGAACAAGATATAAACAGGCAATTCACAAAGAAAAATCACAAATGCCTAATAAATAAATATAAAAATGCTCAACCTGACTACTAATAATAAAAATACAAATTAAAAGGAATTATTTTTTTATAATATTGTCAAGAATTATAAACAGTAATAATATCAAGCCTTGGCAAGTTTACAAAGAATACTACTTCCATGTGCTCCTAGTGGGAGTATAAATTGGAGAAACCTTCTGAAATACAAGTTGACAGTCTATCAGAATAAAACTGTGCATCTCTGATGGCTCAGCAGTTGCACTTCCAAGAAACAATTATAAAGATATATTCCCAACTGAGCACCAAATTGTACATGGTAAAATGATTTCTTTTTTGTGGAGCTAAAAATTGGAAACCTAAATCTCTATCAATAAATTATTTTTATATTGTGTTACAGAGCTATTTTTTTAAATGAGGTAAGCTTTTATATGCTTGTACAAATCTTAACCCTAACTTTATAAATGGAAATTAAGGGATGCAGAGACTTTTTAAAAAGATTTTCCAGCTGATATGCATATGGGATGCCTTTACACATGATATATATCACTTGAGGTCGGGATCACTTGAGGTCAGGATCACTTGAGGTCGGGAGTTCAAAACCAGCCTGGCCAATATGGTGAAACCCCGACTCTACTAAAAATACAAATATTAGCCAGGCATGGTAGTGCACACCTGTAATCCCAGCTACTCGGGAGGCTGAGGTAGGGGAATCGTTTGAACCCAGGAGGCAGAGGTTGCAGTGAGCTGAGATGATGCAACTGCACTCCAGCCTGGGCCACGGAGTGATATAAGCATGATAATCCACACCAACAAATGGGGTAGAGGATGGCATGAAGACCAGAGATGTCTGTTGTATCCATCCTTTGGTCATAAAAAAAAATAGTGTTTTGAATTTATTAACAGATGAAAGGCTGACTTTTTGGATAATTGTAAATTGTTCCTTTAAGAAAAGGGCAGCAACAAACATTCTTTAAGCCTCAGCATGTATCTGGAATTTTGTTTTTGCAAAAAATCTCAGCTGCATTTGGAAAATTTCATGTTCTTTAAATTAGAAGATTAGTTAAAACAAAACAAAACAAAAAAGAGATGCCAAAACTAAAGGTAGAAGTATCAATTTCTGTCGGATAGAAAGCCTAGAAAGTGAATAATAAATAAGAAAATGAGGGGAGGAAATAGCTGAAGATGTAACACTCATAATGTTTTGTAACTAAAGAAAGATACATGCTCTTAGTTGAGAAGCCTCATGAAGTACACAGCAGAGCAGAAAAGACAATACAATGCATATTTATATATGTAAATCTAAGTATCTGAAAACACAGAATGCCATGAGAAGTTCTCAAAGTTTCTAGAATGAAAAAGTAAAGCCTTAAATTTAAATCATTGGCCTGAGGTTTCCAAACAGCAACATTAGATGTAAGAAAAAACAAAAGACTAATATAGCATCTAGTAAAGGGTGAATTCTTTTGTAAATAATATCAATAATTGGTTTGCTATATGGAATACACAATAAAATTATCAAATTTCACAAAAATAAACTTCAAGAATTGAGCATATCCTGTGAAAACCAAAACAACCAAATTAGTAGAAAATATATTCTATCTCTTATTCCGTAGAGAATGATTTTTAAATAAGAACAAAAGGCATTTATAATGTAAGAGAAAACCATATATAGCAGTACAATATGGAAAGGAAAGGTTTCCTCAAACATGGTCCCTTATTTAAAGTTAATAGTACAGGCCGGGAGCAGTGGTTCATGCCTATAATCCCAGCACTTTGGGAGGCCAAGGTTGGTGGATCACTTGAGGCCAGGAGTTCGAGACCAGCCCGGGAAACATGGCAAAACTTCGACTCTACAAATATTACAAAAACTAGCTGGGTGTGGTGGCATGCATCTGTATTCTCAGCTACTTGGGAGGCTGAGGCACAAGGATTGCTTGAGGCACAAGGATTGCTAGATTAAGATCTAGAATATATCAGGAAGAAGGAGACCACATGGCCTAATGGATGAGGCATCAGACTTTGGATCACAAGATAGAATATATAAGGAATTCTTACAAATTATGAAGAAATATGAAAACCAGAAAGAGAGATAGGGAAAGGATATGAATGGGCAATCTGTAGAAGCAGATAGTATAAATTATAAAGAAAAAGATCAACCACAGTAGTAATCAAAGAAGTGCAAATAAAAATCACAATGAGATACATTGCATGTACTTCATGTTTGCAAAAACTCTAATAATATCAAGTGTTGGTGCAGATGCCAAGAAATGGAAATCCTCAGGCACTACTGTTGGATGGAAACAGTGGCATTCGTTTTGGAAACAAAATCTATTATTTAATGAAATAAGGATATGTATATATCCCACAATCCAAAAAATTCTGTAGAAGACTTTGCTCAGGTACACAAATAGACACACATAAAAATATTCACTGAAGTACAGTAGGAGTAAAAATTTGGAAGCAATGTAGATAGAAGCCAATAGAAGACTAGAAAGTGGGCACTAAAAGGGTAAGTCCAATATATTTATCAAAAAAATTATAGTTTTATATGGAAAGAGTAAGAAAAGTAAGAAATACAATACAACTTAGGTAATTATATATGAAATTTACACTATTCATATCTACATTTATAAGAATGTATATACATTATAAGAAACAATGCCATATATTTTACATGAACACACACACAAAGAAATTTATGAGAGGTGGATTGGCAGAATGTAAATTTAGCACAAAGGAGAAGGGAAGTATAAGGGAATGGGATCATGCTGGGAGCTGAAAGGCTTAAAAGCAAATAAAACGTGTGTCATACATTGATAATATACTAAGGAATATACCTTAATTTAGTTGGGTGCCCCTGAAATCCTCCTTTTCAAATGATCACTTTCAGTGTGGGCAAGGGTATAAGTAAAATAAGCACTTATATATACTCGTGTTAGATAACACTTTACCATGACACAAACTCCAAACTTTAACATTTTACTTATGTTTTTTGAAATGTAAGACAAACCAGTCAATTCCCAAGCCTATAATAATGTATAGGAGCAGACCTCATCCCTTGGACTAGCGAGGAGACTTTAAAAAATATTGGTCTTACCCTTGATTGAGTTTCTAAGCTCTTGATTCAACAGATGTCCACTGAACTTCAGTTGCATATCACAAACTCTGAGAATGTATCCCTATCCTTTACTTATTTCCTTTCAGTATCTCTGATTGCTACATTTTATTTTTCAGAACTTTACCCCTAAATCTGAAAATCTCCAAACTCAATCTTTTTTGCTGTAAAATACCCTTCAGATTAATTCCCCGTTCTCATAGATGTTCTATATTTTCAACTTCCATATCCAAATTTGTGTTTTTTTCATCTGGATAGTTATGCTTTCATATTATTCTACTGTCTCAAACTCAGCATAAATCAGTTGAATCTCATTACCTTCTCCCTCCAAATAGCTCCCATTGCTAATTCCCATTTGATTCTGTGGATATATTGCCATCCCAACTGACCACATATGATTTTTTTTACATTACATATTTGTTTTACTCTTTTCTTTCCTTTATCAATCACATCAATTCCCATTAATTCACAACTGTATTAATTTCCTATTGCTGTTGCAACAAATTAACACAAATTTAGTGGTTTAAACCAACACAAATTTATTATCCTGCATTCTGGAGAACAGAAGTATGAAATAGGTCTTACCAGGCTAAAAGCAAGATGTCAACAGGGCTACATTCCCTTCTGAAGGTTCTAGGGAAAAATTCATTTTCTTGCATTTCCAGATTCTAGAGGCCGCCCACATTTGTTGGCTCCCTGCCCCCTCCCATCTTCAAAACCTGCAATGTTTGGTTGAGTCTTTTTATGCTGCCATCTCTCTGGCTATTCTTTTTCTATTTAAGAACCCTTGTGTTTATATTGATCTCACCTGGATAATAAAAAAAAAAGTTCCTGGACTAATTGACGAGCAACATAATTCCATCTTCAGCCTTAATTATCCCTTGCTATGTAACATAACATATTCATATGATATTAGGGTTTCAATATCTTTGGGGAGCCACTATTCCACCTATCACAATAACCAGTTCATTTCAATTCAAATATCACCCATGTCTTATTTACTGTTTTTCTTTCTTCACAATTTAAAACGAATTCTCTGCAAAATCCTTTGCCCCCCAGGCACATCTGGGGTCCCCACCAGATATCTTACATGTACTCAGAACAAGTCATGTTTCTTAACCTGTGCTAATTATCTCTCTTTTCTTCTTCAGGCCTTTCCCTTGAGTGCTGTACAAGTGTGTCCCTCAGGTACTGATGAAGCCTCTACAGAGCTATCTTCTCAGCCTTGCTGTGCCATTTCTGCTGCTACTGCAGCAGTGACATGGGAATCTCTGAGGCATCAAATCTTGAATTGGAGGAAAGTGCTTCTTTCCATATTTTGTGTTAAGTCCTACTAAAAGATAGCAAAGCAGAGTTGTTTGCCTAGAGACTTTTAAATAAAATTTAGGTATTACTTTTAAACATAGGTTAATATAGAAGACAAATCTAAGTGACAAAAATAATGTGTATTCAGCATCACTATTCCCCAAGAATGACAAATGTATTTTTTTTTTTTTTTGCTATAATATCTCCCAGTTGACTCCATCTTTTCTTCTACTGAATTTTCAACCAGAGAGCTCCTTAGTTTCTTATTTAAATAGACTTCTGGTAGACCTAACCAGTATTACATGTGCCAGATCTATCTGAATCTAATCAAGTTTGGTTTAAATGAAATCAGCTGTGCCCACAGCCTCATACCTATTCCATTTTTACTTTTGTACAACCACAAAACTAGCCCGGAGTGGGGGAGTTCACTTAATAATTTGCTAAGTGCAATTGCCACCACCACTACTCTATGATCCAGCCCCTCCCTATCCAACATGACATCATCGATTAAGACTCCTAAATCAATGCTATTTTTTACTTAAGAAAGTATAGTGTTTTTCTGTGACCCTTCAGATAAAGACCCTCAATCAATCGACCACTCAAATATCTTTCTAATATTTACTATAGTATGGTTTCCATTGTTCTCTAATTTTAGCTCTTGCCTTTCTTCATCTCAGCCCTATATCATGAACATTCTTCCTTTTCAAACGGTCACATTATTTCTAAGTATCCACCACAATCTCTACCTTCTCTCAGAACAATTGTGAACTTTTAAGTTATATTTTTGAACATTTGGTAAATCATTTGATGCTTAAATAATTGAATAAGGTCAGATTGTGTTTAATAAATGTCAGCTGTGCTTTATGGTACGTAGGTAAAAATCAGTATGGCTCTGTTTATATGCTGGATTGCGTTTATTGATTTGTGTATGTTGAACCAGCCTTGCGTCCCAGGGATGAAGCCCACTTGATCATGGTGGATAAGCTTTTTGATGTGCTGCTGGATGTTTGCCAGCATTTTACTGAGGATTTTTGCATCGATGTTCATCAGGGATATTGGTCTAAAATTCTCTTTTTTTGTTGTGTCTCTGCCAGGCTTTGGTATCAGGATGATGATGGCCTCATAAAATGAGTTAGGGAGGATTCTCTCTTTTTCTATTGATCGGAATAGTTTCAGAAGGAATGGTACCAGCTCCTCCTTGTACCTATGGTAGAATTCAGCTGTGAATCCATCTGGTCCTTGACTTTTTTTGGTTGGTAGGCTATTAATTATTGCCTCAATTTCAGAGCCTGCTATTGATCTATTCAGGGATTCAACTTCTTCCTGGTTCGTCACTGGCCATCAGAGAAATGCAAATCAAAACCACAATGAGATACCATCTCACACCAGTTAGAATGGTGATCATTAAAAATTCAGGAAACAACAGGTGCTGGAGGGGATGTGGAGAAATAGGAACACTTTTACACTGTTGGTGGGATTGTAAACTAGTTCAACCATTATGGAAAGCAGTATGGCAATTCCTCAAGGATCTAGAACTAGAAGTACCATATGACCCAGCCATGCCATTACTGGGTATATACCCAAAGGATTATAAATCATGCTGCTATAAAGACACATGCACATGTATGTTTATTGCGGCACTATTCACAATAGCAAAGACTTGGAATCAACCCAAATGTCCATCAGTGACAGACTGGATTAAGAAAAGGTGGCACATATACACCACGGAATACTATGTAGCCATAAAAAAAGATGAGTTTGTGTTCTTTGTAGGGACATGGATGCAGCTGGAAACCATCATTCTCAGCAAACTATCCCAAGAACAGAAAACCAAACACGGCATGTTCTCACTCATAGGTGGGAATTGAACAATGAGATCACTTGGACTCAGGAAGGGGAACATCACACACTGGGGCCTATTATGGGGAGGGTGGTGGAGGAATTGCATTGGGAGTTATACCTGATGTAAATGACGAGTTGATGGGTGCTGATGAGTTGATGGGTGCAGCACATCAACATGGCACAAGTATACATACGTAACAAACCTGCACGTTGTGCACATGTACCCTAGAACTTAAAGTATAATAATAATATTAAAAAAAAACAGTATGGCTTAAAGGTAAAAATCAAACAATTCATCCTAAGGTTAGCATTACAATTTTTATTATCCCCTTAGGCTAGCAAAACACTGATGACAATCCCAGGTGTCACTCTGTCCTTTCTTGTTAGACTTAAACTCATTAATTCCAGATTAAGTCTTATCCTGATATCGTCCAAAACCCAATTTAGCAATTAAATTATACCCTGCCCTTACTCAGTACTTTTAGCAAGTCTCCTTTCCTGAGGTAACCGCCTGTCTTTTTAGAAAAATTTCCCTTTGTCAATGGCCTCACACTTCCCATCTCTTTTTCAATGGTTGCCTTCATCCTTCTAGGTATGACTGCAACTCTTTCAAGCCAGATCAAAAATACAGTTCTTTAATTTTCAGAATTTCTCACAAAAGTTTTCCTTTATTTCATCCTTATAGCTTTGCTGAGTCAAATTACTGCTATATGTTCATTAATAAATCATGAAATAAGTTTATCTAATGTGAACACTTTTTCATCAACAGGAAGAACAGGGACTATAATTCAATATCTAATAACTTCCTTGGAGAAAGAAGCATTTCTTCACAAAACTTCCCAGATGAAAAATGAGATATAATTTAAAAATTACAGAATTACTTTGGCAACAAAGAAAAAGAGCTTTAAGGTTTCTGAGCTGTCTACTCTGATGCAACATTTTTAGAGCTCTCTCTTGAGAAAGAAATAGCACTTCTATGGGGGGGAGGGAACAGAATGTTGCTATAATTGTTGATAAAAGTAAATAATTCCAACAAAAAAACCAGGATTTAAGACATGGTGAGAAGACCAAAAGATGTGGTATTTGGAGACCTAAAGTCAAGTTTGCCAGTTCACTTGGTGTTATTCAGCAGTTTACGTGCACTTAACTGTCCTAATGAGGTTGAAGAGGTAGGCGTCATACAAAGCAAATACCTGTTTGGGAACTCCGTATCTGACCTGGCAAGATAGAGTTACTGAGCTGAAAGAAGTCATCTTATCACCATTTAAGTTAATTATAAGACATGGAGGGTTATAAGGAAAGGACTTTTTTTTTTTTTTTTGGAGACGGAGTCTTGCTCTGTCGCCCAGGTTGGAGTGCAGTGGCCGGATCTCAGCTCACTGCAAGCTCCGCCTCCCGGGTTCCCGCCATTCTCCTGCCTCAGCCTCCCGAGTAGCTGGGACTACAGGCGCCCGCCTCCTCGCCCCGCTAGTTTTTTGTATTTTTAGTAGAGATGGGGTTTCACCGTGTTAGCCAGGATGGTCTCGATCTCCTGACCTCGTGATCCGCCCGTCTCGGCCTCCCAAAGTGCTGGGATTACAGGCTTGAGATGACTCGGCCGGGCACTGTGGCTAACCCCTATAATCCAAGCACTTTGAGAGGCCATGGTGGGCAGATCACGAGGTCAGGAGTTTGAGACCAGTCTGGCCAACATAGTGAAACCCCATCTCTACTAAAAATACAAAAAAAAATTAGCCAGGCGTGGTGACACGTGCCTGTAATCCCAGCTACTTGGGAGGCTGAGGCAAGAAGAATTGTTTGAACCTGGGAGGTGGAGGTTGCAGTGAGCCGAGATCAGGCCACTGCACTCCAGCCAGGGCGACAGTGTGATTCTCCGCCTCAAAAGTAAAAAATAAAAATAAAAATAAATACCCAATGACTCATCATGACATCTAACCCTATTACAAAAGCCCTGAATATATCAGAACTCTTGATACCCGCTGACAATTCTTCACACATAGTCCTCATCACCTCCCTGTTACAGACAAGGTACAGCACTTACTGCACAAAAATGACTCATGCAAAATTTAAAATAGAATATATCTGAGGGGGGTCACCTGTGAACAACTCACATTTCTACTTTTCTTAGTCACTGAAAATTTTCAACACCCCACACTCTGTTTTCTTTTTCTGGGCACCTGTACCACTATTGTTTTAGACTTCTCATGCTGGTCCTTCTCTACATCAACAACACAAACCCCCTACCATGTCCACTGCCACGCAGGACCCTTTTCTGTTCATTATAGACTACCTTAAGTACTATCCTTTCTCTCAGGACTTCTTCATCTCTTGGCCTTATTATCTCTACTCTGAAAGTCCAGAGGACCAGAAGGTGGTCCCATAAAAACTCCCAGTAGAGAATTTATAGTCTATAAATATACAACACTCCAAAATGTTTTCTATGGCCTTGATTGATCTGATCCAGACTAGTTTGCAATCTGCAAAACCAGAATTGAACTGGGTGCCAAAATTGAATCCTTTTGCTTTCTTTGCATTGTTCTTTGTGCAATAAAAAGATCACAACTGCAGTTTCCATCCTCTGTAGAAGTCCTGAAATACAATGGCTTCATTCTAAAGCTTTTTTCTGTACAACCATTTCTAACATTACTAAACTTTGCTCCATTAATGTAGACTGACTATATTAATCCATTTGCATTACTGTTAATATAAAGAAATACCTGAGACTGGGTAATTTGTAAAGAAAAGAGGTTTATTTTGGCATATGATTTTGCAGGCTGTATAGGAAGCATGATGTTGGCATCTGCATCAGGTGAGGCCTCAGGAAGCTTACAATTATGGTGGAAGGTGAGGGGGAGTCAGCATGTCACATGGTGAGAGATAAAGAGAGCAATGCAAAAGGTCCCAGACTTTTGAACAACCAGATCCGTGAACTAACTGAGCAGGAATTCACTTATCACCAAGGGCATGGTGCTAAATAATTCATGAAGGATCCATTTCCGTGATCGAATCACCTCCCACCAGTGTTGGGAATCACATCTCCGTGTGAGATTTGGAGGGGACAATCATCCAAACCATATTACTGACTAAAAACCACCATTACTTACAAACCACTGTTACTTACAAACCACTGTTACTTACAAACCACCATTTAGTGGTTTGGGCCATGAGCAGCAGGTCATGGTAGAGGAATGGCACAACTACTCCCTGTCATTAATTAGAAGAGACATAAACCAGGAAAACTGCCCATATTTGGAGTTGATAAACACTGAAATTGTTATGGTGCTACTTCTCTTACACAATATGGATTTCAAAATAGGTATATAATTAAGTGATGAAATAAATTTAATAAAATTTCAATGAGATGTTAATTTTTCTTAAAGAGCCACTTTAATACATAAATTTTAATATTTTTGATATTTTGACTTTTTTAATTTTTAAAATTTGGTATTTTATTAAGAACCTTGACATTGAACGTGTTTGGTACTTAGTGAATTATCCATCAGTACCCAAATTACAGTACC